TCCCTGCTGTCTCCTTCTTTGCTGTCTCCTCTCAGCATGTCTTCGTCTCTACTGTCTCCTTGATGGCTCTTAGGGGGGCCCCTGTCCCCCTTTAAGAAGGAGACAGCCCCCAGCGACATATGTTTAGGGCGCATCAGAGGAATGCAGCATGTTGTAGCCTTTCGTTCTACTGTCTCTTTTCTCGTCTTAATGGGGCCCCCATTGGGGGCCCCACTGGGGGCCCCCCATTCAACTGGTGTTGTGTGTCTCCTTGAAGGAGGCCCCAGGGGCCTTCTATGGGGGCCCCCCTGTGGGGGCCCCCCTAGGAGGCTTCCACCGGACCCTGATTGACTATCACAACTTCTTTTTATCTGCCTTAGGCTTTCAGGCTTGCAGCTGTGGGGCCCCTCTGGTGTACCCTGGGGCCCCTGGATACAGTGAGCACCCTGGGGGCCCCTGTGGTTTGGGGGCCCCTGGGGGCCCCTGGAGTTTGGAGGCCCCTGGGGGCCCCCTTCAACGGCCTTTTTAAGGGTACTGAGGAGAGGCCTTAAGACGCAATGGGCTGTCTTAATGCGAGGGAAGACTGTCTCCTCTACATAATCGATATCATATACTAACTGCCACTTATAAAGGACACGCTGACGAAGATAATCTTCATTAAACAAAAACTCTAAAAGAGACAAAGCTGTTGAGGGATTTGTGCAGGCCTGCAATGCATAACTCACAGAGTATATATATATATATGTGTGTATATATATATATACATATATATATATGCATATACACATATGTATATATATATATATATATATATATTATGTACATATATATATAATATATATATAGATATATATATATTCCTGTTTGCTTGTTTATTCTCTCCCTCGCTCTCTCTCTGTTTCTCCTTGTTTCTGTCTTTTGTCGCTGTCTCTCTGACTCTGTCTCTCTGCCTCACTCTCTATCTCTGTGTCTCTTGTCTCCACCTGCAGCAGACGCTGTGTGTCTCCTCTTCGCTTCTTGCTTCTCGTTTCTTTTCATTTATTCAATTTATTTAATTTATTTAACTACTTTAGTTTATTTATTTAATTTATTTTCTTTTAGAGACAGGTGTACACTGACAAGCAGAAAGCGCTGGAAGCAGTCGGCGCCAATCTCAGGGAGTACAAAGACAGCTAAGTACAGCAGTACAGCAAAACGAAATTTGTCTCCTTTGTCTCTGCTGCGGCAGCCTTGACGCTGCTGCAGCAGCAGAAACTCCTCAACCAGCGGCAGCAGCAGCTGCTGCTCGCACACCGCCCGATCCGCCACCTGCTGCACCAGCGCTCCAGAGGGGCTCCAGCCTCCCCCGCTGCAGCAACAGCAGCAGCACCAAACACAAGAGCAGAGATCCTCACGTCTGCATGCAAGAAGGGCATATACTACTGTTGCTACACCCCAAGACAAACATACAAGCGTCTCCTTACAGCACAAAAGAGAGGCAATTGAGAGACACCGAAAAACACCACCTGTACACAGCCTTTTAATGCTATACCTCTTTCAATGTGCATCCATTCATGCATGCATGCACATTGTGTATGTCTGTATGTGTTTCTTTTAACTTCTTTCTGCACCGAAGCCCCAAAACAAGTGTCAAAAGGCAGCCGCCTCACCCCAACACCTCCTCGTACACTGCATGCACGTTCTTCGGGTCCTTAAGAAGCGCCTCTAACACAGAGCCGCACTGCGTTAGTACTTCTCTGTAAGAGAATGGGGGGTCCCTAGACGCCCCGGGGGCGTCGGGGGCACCGGGGCCTCGCCCCGAGCCCTGACTGCGCCCGAAGGGGCCCCCCTCCACCCCACAGAGAGTGGGTACCTGTAGGCGCATCAGGTTTGGGGTCTGCGTGGCTGCACAAGTGTGAGAGCAGCACTTGAGGGGCGTAGAGTATCGGACACCGTATGCATAAGCAGCAAAGGGAGACAGATATCTCTCTAGCCCCCTTCAATGCTCTCACCTAACTGTATTTTTTAATGGTTCACATTCTAAGAATTAGCTCTCTAGGGTTTAGGGTTTAGGGTTTAGGGCTTAGGGTTTAGGAAGCCAACAAAAGACAGGGAGTGACCCTGGTCTGAGGGCATCTGCTGTGCCCTTCGCTTTCTTCTGTCTTTTGTAAGTTTAATCTCAGAGTTTCTAGTGTTTTAATTGTTTATTGAAACTAATTAATAATTATAAATGATGAAAAACAAACAGAATAAACCGCTGCATGCAGCAAAGGGCCCCAGTGAGCGCTAGCATCGAGGCAGCTCATCGGGCGGGGGCCTCGGTGTATATCTTTTTTGTTTTTGCTGGTTTTTGTTTATTTATCTGGATGTTTACCTTTAAAATTAAATATAAACTCCATTTAATATCTAAAAGCAATAGATAAACCCCTGTGAAGCCAAAGGCAGCCTCAGCAAGCAGCAGCGGGCAGCAGGTGGGCGTAAGAGTGTAAAGGGGCTGCTGCTGCTGCTGCTGCTGCTGCTGCTGCAGCTGCACGCGTTTTATTAATGGGAGAAGTATAATTTTAAAAGAATTGGTTTTACTATTTTATTAATAAGATAAACACACTCAGCAACTTCTCTTAAAACAAAGCAACAAGAGCTGCTTAAACTTCTCTATAGAGCCTTAATATACCCACTGACAGGCAATGGTCTGTACAGCTGCGAGTCTGCTGTTGTGTGTGTGTATATGTTTATGCAAAAAGAGGAGTTAGAGTGCATAAAAATAGGTGTCTAATAGGGAGACAGAGTAAAAATAAGCAAGAAAAATTAATAAAAACAAACAAAAGAAGGAAAAAAGCTTTAAAAATCAGCGCCTCACCACTCCGCACCAACCGAAGCAGCAGCAGCAGCAGCAGCAGCAGGCTGCTGCTGCTGCTGCACAGGCTGGCGACAGGAAGGGGGGGTTGTTGTTGCTGTTCTTTATCTTCATATTTGTGTTTTTATTTTATTATCTGGCAAACATTATTATCTCGTTCACTTCTATGAAGGCTCTTCGGCTTCTGGGGGTCCCCTCTTGTACAACCCGCCGCCCTTTGAGACCCTCACCGGCAGCAGCAGCAGCAGCAGCAGCGGCAGCAGCAGCTGCAGCAAGAGAGACAGCTTCTGCTGCACCCGGTCTCACTTCACCACGCAGCAGGAGACAGAGGAGACGAGACGCACAGAGCCGAAGGAGCCCGCCTTGACCCTCCAGGCTGCTGCAGCAGGCTGCAGCGCAGCTTCAAACTGCAGCAGCAGCAGCAAACTGCAGCAGCAATTGCTGCTGCTACTCTCCAGGGGCTTCTAGACCCCCTGACCTTGTGCTGCACTTCTGCTTCGACTTACAGCATTGGCAGCAGCTCGCCATAGACTGACGCAGGCAGCCTATAGTTTTTTTGTCACTACCCCCAGCAG